GGGGGGGCCTCAGAGCCAGGGCTACGGGGGGGGCCTCAGAGCCAGGGCTACGGTCATGTGAGCTGCACCCGCACCTACACTCCTCTTTTGTTCTCACATTCATCTTTAATTGCCCGCTTTCAGTTCACCACACGAATGGCCCACTGTGAATGAAATGGGATATACTGGAAGAAAATCATCACACAGCCTAGAAGTATAGGTGAGGCGTGTAATTTGATACACCCTTTGATGTAGCCCTCTGAAATTCAGCCCCCCCCCCCTAATGCTGGTGGACCACACCCCCATCCCCCATTTCCCTCACCCTCAGCAGGTCACCTGCCTCTCTGCATCCCCCCGACTCACACCCCCTGTGGAGATCGTCAGGGTTCAGGACCACATACCAGGATACCGGGAGCACATCCCTGAGCGGGGACAGTGCTGAGGCTGAGCAAAAGCCTCCCCCCCACCCCCCGAGCTTACCGAGAAAGTGCGAAGGTTAAGCAGCCCTCGTTGCCGATAAGGAGCCTTCGAATGCAGAGATACCATCTTGCTGAATGCCTCATTTCACTTCAGCCACTCAGTCTCACTTGATTTCTGATGTGAAGATTAATTCACGCTGACACAGGGCAGGGTGCCCTCAAAAGTTCCCCCACAGACAGCATGGGAGCTGCAAAAGGCTCACCAAGTATCGAGGGCTTCATTAAAGCAAAGCGTGCTAGCGGGACATGTCCGGCTGGAAGCCCTGCAGGCTGCTGGCCGACCACACGGGTAAACGGGCCAGTTATCAAAGCCTGGGCTGCTGTTAAAGCCGGCCGCCTCCCAGTAACAGGGCCAGTGAGACCACTGGGAGCTCATGAATTTCATCACCGGTGCCTGGAAAAACAGGGGGTCACCGCTTGAAAAGTGGCAGTGGCGTCACTATCCGCCAATCAACAAATAACGCCGGCGCCCATCCCAATGACATCACCTTCATGACAAAGAGTCACGGCACAAGGAGCTCCAATGCTTTTAACTGGGCACTGATGATGTGACAGGATGAGCGACCAAACCAAGTTACGGCACAAGATGATTCCATCGATAACACGGGTAACGACGACGTAAAAGGCCGTTTCTTAACGAAAAAATCTCGGGGCACCGAACTGTTCGTTTTCTGGGACTGGATTTTAGGATGGGCAGAATCTGTCAAGTAAAGCTGATCACGTGAGAAACAAGAGTAACATTTTCCCCAATACAGAGTAGAAGCTGATACATCAGTACAAAGGAACACTGAAAAGGCCAAATCCTTTATATGCAATATGATTTGAAAAGTTGTGTTAAGAGGCTAAAAGGAATCATTTCATGCAGGCTTTGTTTATTAATTTTTTTTTATAAATTGGAAGACAAGCCTCCCAAAGTGTAGCTTTAAGAAAAGCATGCAAAATAGTGTCTCACCATCCACATGTATCAGAAAGGCTAAAGATAATCAAAATTTTTATTTAAAATGGAGACCTTTCTGGCATTTAAGCCAAGTGTACTGCTTTAGATAAGAACTTGCAGATCGGCTATTGCACACACAGGAAACGCATGTGTGCAATTTATCTCTGATGGTTTTGATTGGAAGAGTAGCTTTCACGACCTCATTTATTAATATACTAAGCAGATATGGCCATCGAGCTATAGCAGCCATACGATTATACTACCCTCAGCATAGAGTAGAAATAAAAGTCTACGTCAAACCCCGCCCCCCCCTCCCCCCAGCAAGAGATTCACAGGTCACCTCGGGTCTCACCTGCCTACAGAGCAACCTGCAGATTTGAATACATTTGCTGGATTAGACAGACCGACCCACAAATTTTCAATTTCCAACCACCAAAACTGTGTGGAAGTAAGAGACTCCTATCTTCATAGCCAAACCTCCTTGGGACCAGCTTTGAAACACACTGCCAACACACATGGCAAACTGTGGAACAATCAACTCACATCCACGGGTCTGCAGCTAAACAGAAGAAGCTGGTTTGATTCTATGGGCAGAAACCACATAGATTGGTACAGTAGATTGGTGTTTTAACTAGACAAACACCTAACTTACACGGGGTGTTTACTATTCATAATCACCCGCTCTTAGAGCAAGAGCCAATAATGGATGTTTATTTTATTACACACAAGCCTTTTAGTAAATACTTGTGATTCAGAGGGTCCAGTTAAGATTAAATTTATTGATTCTGGGGGAAATTATGGTGCATAGAACAGCAAGAACATAGTGTACTGACTGACATACGGAGCGTGCCAAACATCAAGGTACAAAAACAGAACACATTTTGCAAACAAGGTAAAAGCAGTGCAGATGTAAAAGGTATGTATGCAGTATACAAATAAACGAAAATTTCTGAAAAATAAAATGTGTAAAAAAAAATTTTCAGTATAAGACAAATAATTGTGTGCAAAAAGTATATGAAAGAAACAGATGCTGTCTTGATGGCATTGCAGGGAAATGGAACTAGATGCCATATGAAGAACCACTAGAAAGAGAAAAGACAAAAAAACCACGCAATGGTCATGCAGCAAACAGAGAGAAGGCAAGTAAAGTGTGAAGTGACAGTGGGTGAATCCTGGGGCAGGAAAGGCGAGATAAACAAGGAAAGAAACCCAACGTCACAGGAGAGATTTAACTAACAAAGGTCTCCCAAGTCGTAATTTGTTAAACAAGCAGGTTGTGAGTATGAAGTCTCCGGATAGCATTAATAAACACGGCTGCTGATCTCAGCGGTGGCAGGACACCAGTCTTACTGGCAAGGCGTTAAAGCCCGAGGTCTCATTCCACAGCTCGGGAATCAGACATGCAGGCATCATACCACATACAAGTGTCTGTCCCACTTCCGCTGCGGAAACTTTAAAAAGAAGATGACCCTTAACTCAAATATGGGTCATCAAATATGGTTCTGCACAAGGATACAGCTACTGTATCAGAGGAATTAAGTTTGAATGAAGATAAGCAATGTGTTGAGAACAGGAAACACCATGGACAAAAACAATAATAGCAGAAGCTTGCACACACATCAAGCTTTACAAAAATGAAATCTCACACCGTACATTTTTACGTTATCAGGTAATTTTGCCCTTGCGCGCACACTGTCACATATAAAACAACATAAAATACTTTAAAACGATAACCACAAACATATCTGCAGGCTAACACTTTACAAATAGGGTATCATTAGGAGAAGATTAACCGAGTATGTATTAAAACAAAACGGCAACATAAGGAAAGGCAGAAACTTCACTTTCCTGTGGGAGAGGCGTCGCTAAACCGCGACAAACATGCGCTACGAATGCAGAGAACACAGAAAGACGAAAAGACTACATAATTTATGTCAGTCCTAAGTAAATGGCCTTCGGTATTTCTCATTCTACTTAGGAAACAGAAAAAAATAGCAATTCCAGACCTACGATGGAAGCACATTTATCTGAGGACAGACTGAACTCCTGAATTATATTCGCCTTGTGCGAAGTGACCACGACTTGGACCGATAGAAGCCAGCACACATCATTTTAGCAAAAGGCCAGACAGGGAAGCGCTGTCTTCATTCGAGGGGTTATATTTCAGCAATGCTGGGTGTCTTCCGATTACAGCGCTTTATTTGGCAGTTACCTACCAATTCTTCAATACTTACAAGAACACAGTACAAGAAGCACATAATCTGAAATTGTTACACAAACAAAGGTCCAGACACTGGTCGAGCACTGTGAAGCTGCGTGATTGCATCCACATAAAACCTCGGTGTCGTCCCGTGACGAGGCAGCCTGATCTCCGCGACGCACCGCCTACCTCAAACACATGGTGCCACCGGTATCGTTGAGACCCTTCGCCGGTGCATTTTCCGTTGTCTGACCTACAGTGAGCCGGTGCCGTTAGGACACCATCATGCATGTAACCCATTCTGCATGTACAGTATACCAGATCGGCCTGAGCTCATCCTGCAGGAACAGTTCAGCCACAGCATGCTGGAAAAAGGTCACACATGCGCTAAATGGGAGAGAGCATCCCCGCCGAAGCCGCGCGCTTGGCATCAGGTAGCCAAAGATGGCCAATGTGTGTACAACGATGTCGTTCAAATTATTTTACAGTCATTATTGAATATGACTTCATACCTGGACACTTAACGCCGAGGAGCCTGGACAGAACCGAAGCATTATAGTGATGGAGGAGGCGATACCACGGTTCCGTATCACACCACACAACCACAACACGAATTCACAGCTCAAACAGGTAGATAAATAAACAACGTTTGAGGACGGTAAGGACGGACTTAGCTACAGTGTAATAAAAGCTTCGCTCACCTGTTTGCCGAAGCTAAAATCCGCAAGAACTGGATAGCTCCGTAGTTACTTTCCCGTTACGCGGCTATCTTCGGTGACTTAGCTAGCGCACGACCTGAGCAGACAGTTGTAGTTATCATCTACATATATCGACAACTAGACAATAAAACAGCTACTAAAAATAAAAGCCGCTAAAGTTTTTAGCTCAGCTATCTGTATGCACTGAGGCACTAATGCATATCCTTGAGTGAACAGGCAGCCAGTTCATACACAGTGTCGGTGACAGCGCATGCGCGGTTTAAACGCGGCGCGAGCTGCTTCCCGGCTCCGTCACTGGAAGGACGTCACAGCCAATCAGATGCAGCGAGCGCCTTGACGTGGCTTTCGTTTCATCAGCTTTTTGGTGCGCTCGTTCCACGTGCTCTCTGTTGTAATGGTTCTATCGGCTTCTCGTTGGGAAGTTCTGGCGTTTATAATTGCCAAAATGGCGTCTTCTCGTCGTTATTTGAACACACATCATAACTGCCTTGGTTTACACTCTAGATTTGATTATTTCTTTTTAAAAAAACTTTTAATTAGAAATAGCAAAATTATCCTACATGGGAGTCATTTTCATTTCAAAATTAATGCTGTTCATTCAGTGCTGTTTTGAATTAAGATATAAGTCTCAAAAGTCAAATCGATAGGCATGGCATTTTAGAAGATAGTGTAAACTACGTACGGCAAAATTATGTTTGGTGATGTTTAAGTATTTACATACAGCTACCTTAATATCTGTATTGCGATATCCAGTAAGATTCTAGCTGCCCCACATCCCTGACCAGGACAAGCGATGGCTAAAAATATGAATGGATAGAATGTCCAGTATTGGGAATTTCTGAAATAAATTTGGATATTTATGGTTCATAGGCAAATTATTTGTACGTGTTGAATGGCTTTTCTTTGAGTGTATATAATTTTGTATTTCAGTTTTACAGCTATATCCTGTGAACTACACGTCCTCATTCGCTTCCCAATGAAAGTCCGGGTGGAGTGTCCTTTAGTGACACACAGTGGTAAACTGTAGAACTGCACAAAAGTGATTCGTCATTAGCCATCCTGCCTATGCGAGTTGATTTTCTCGGAATATTTTCGTATATCACCCGAAAATATAATTTTTGGGTATTCCGATTTTCTAAATCAAAGGCATGTATTTAAGCAAACTTCTGTCTCTAAATTGCCCGTTGTTTGCGGGATTGTGATGGATGGATTTCAGTGTTACAAGAATATTGTTATTTATATCCATCAGTTTTCCATCTGCTTTTCCAATACAGGGTCTATGAGGCCTGGAGTTTCTTTCAGGCAGCATAGGACAAGAGGTGGGGCTCATCCTGGAGAGGATGCCAATCCATCACAGAGCACATACATACCCCATAGGCAACTTAGAGACACACATGAGCACACTGCAGGAGGAAATCTATATGGCACAGGGAGAACAGGAGATACATGGAGCAGGACTCAAACACCCTAATCTTGAGGTATGAGACGCTGTGGCTCCATACTGAGCCACTACATACAATTTCCATCATGTAATATCAAATGAAACATGATTCCAATGCAGTTATCTGGTGTGAAAACAGTCATAAGCAGTCATATAATACTGCATATGTATTTAAAAACAAGTTATATATATATATTTAAATATTTTCTTTCAAATGTTGTTTCCTCATTTGGTTTCATTCCAGTCCAACTTAAGTACACTATAACAAATTTAGCAGTCATACAGGCACAAATAAAATGATTTATTGGTAACTAAACCAGTACCATGCAGAACAAACAGGACAGATTGGAAGGGACAATAGCAAACAGTTCAAACCCAACATTACAGCTACTGACAAGCTAAATATTTAGCTGGAGGAAATAAATTGTAGATAAAATATTTAGTGCTTTTAATGTACAGTCTTTTATTATACAAAGCTCAGAGTAATATTTAACTTTATCTTCAACTATACACAGTCCAAATGTGCAACATCATACATTAAGATGTGTGGTCACTGCATTTAATTCCCCCTGGAAATTGAATTCATAATTACTTTGTAAACAATTACATTTTTAAAGATACAAATAAAGTTTAACAACGTATTTCTTTTGAGGTTTCTGATTAGTCTTCTCATTTGAAATAAAGGTTTTTGTTATAAATTAATGACATTACTGAGGATACTGTACTTGGTAGAGTTTTGGTGCTTGGGTGGTATGTACCAGAAGGCGGATGTTCCATGAAAGTTGTAATTAATTCCTTACGGAGCCTAGAAAATGAGCCGATTTAATGCTGACCTGCTTCAGCTTGTCTGTTCTTCTGTGCTGCAGCAGTAGTACTGTGATTCACACAGCCAGTGCTCTGATTGCTTGTCAAGATGAATGTTCCAAAATTTTGTGAAACGTTTTCTTACAGAGACTGTTTCCACAGATGAAAAAGCAGTGTTATCAAATTTCAAAGAGGAATTAATAAAACATTTTAAAAGCGGCAAATTATAGAACAAGGAATGACTTCTATAAATGTAACTAGTATGAAGAAATGTGATGAAAATGTGATGAAACCTTTGCTGCACCAACTCTATAATCTTCCAACGCCACCAGGAAACTCAAAAATTGAGAAATACAACAGCAGAAAATGGTAGATTGATGTTAATTCAGTTGCAGAATTTGATTTCAGTGAAGGTAAATTGTCATTTAAACAACCCTCAGAATAGACTTTTACAGCTGTGCTTGATGTAACCATTGCTATTGTCCTAAAGACACAGAATTAAACTGATTTAATCTGTTTAACTGTATGTACTTTTTATAGTGTGCTTTTTATGCAGGAAATGTGCTAAATTCTAAACCAACAATTTTACTTTTTAATTTTTTTAATTTGGTCCAAGGATTAGCATTAGATAGGAGGATGCTGTTGGAGATGACAGAGGGAGAAACTAATTTTAGCCTATAAAGTACAAAAATGTGCATGTTTGTTAATGACAATGATATTAATGATACAAAATATATATGGTAAACAAATAAGGATTTTTGGAACTCATTACCAGAATCATATTCTATTGCTAAACCAAACACCTGACAAGGCAGCAGGGCATCTTCACCTGCTTGGGAAGAGGCACCTTAGGATTAAGTCTCAAACAGCAAGCTCCACAGCAGTCATCCAGCAATTCCTGATAATGAACAGCAGATATCTTCAGCAGAGATTAAATGCCAGAAGGAGATCGGGTGCTCCCTTACGATGATGAACCAAACAACACCACAGAATGTGGTTTTTTTTTTATACACTTGGACAGAAATAGCTTAAGCGTGTTGCTCAAAGCCATTCTAGCAGATGTCTCTGCAGTGTATGGAGATGATGGATACTTCCCTGAGAGTGTGGAGATGAAACAAACACAGGGAGCAATGGTACTGAAGTCGCATAGAGCTTTCTCCTTCTGTTACCGAAACGAGTAAGGGTGCCATTAGCAAGGCAGCATGTTAATGATTCAAAGAGAGGGAAAAACGATTTTTTATTTATTTCATCTTCCATTCATGTACTATAAAATCTCTATATCCCATACTTTCTATTTTCCTTAATTACTACTCACTTTTCGGATAAATACACTGTTGTTGTTTGTTTTGCATTATGTTACCTTAATTTTGTTGTTTTATTCACTTCCCTTAAGCAAGGGAAATACAAAAATGACTTTCATGCCAAAATTGCCATTTGCACATGTGCTCATGCAGCACTGGCGTGGGCCTGCTTTAGGGCTTCCTGCGGGCACCCATGACAGCCCAGTGAGTAATATATGTTTTGTCTGGGAAGCCGCTGATAAGCTCGCTGCACCGCTAAGCTAACGGAACGAACAGTAAGCCGCTAGCAAAACAGAAGGAGGTCATCCGCCTGTTACAACTGCTTGTTATTTCCTCGCCCTGACTTGCACAGAGACATAATAGTAGCATCAAGCCCACCATAATTTCTTGTGCAATAAGACAAGGTGTGGTTGCTTACTTCATTTGTAAATGTAGGTGTCTGTAATTGAGGGTGAGGACATTACTTTGGTATTTATTACAGTATGCAGTCTGATTGTTTCCATCTTGAGTGATATAAGCTTCAGCAGCCCATGCAGAACTTTTGGCAGGATGTAACAAACTAGGACTAAGGAAGAATGACTATTAGGTGAGCCATGGGACTGCAGCAGCTCCAGAATATGTCAATATGACTCTTTTGTGAGTAGATGTAGCTTTGCAGCAAAATATTAGTGTTGTCTAAGGTAAAACAAAAAATGCTTTTCAAACCACTAACCTGGGGATTAAATTTGCTGCCACAACTTCACTCTGCTTGCTCTAAAAGGATTCTGCATGTCAGTGAAAATCAGGCACGATGAAACAGATTGGATGTGGAAGAACCATGTAGCTTCAAAACCGATTCTAGGAGCACAAGGGCAAAGGTCTTTGGAGTAGGTGGAATACTCCATGTGGATATAGGGAGTGCCTGTCTGGTGTCTATTTAGAGCAGCTCAACGGAGCCTGTGAGAACCTGTGAGTCAGGGAATTACTGTGTCAGGCATCTCCAACCAGCATCAGGGGCTTATATTATGCTGGGAGTCTGCAGAACCTGCAGGTAAATCCCCCTGCTCCAGGTTTAATGCAGAAGTCAGCTTGTAATCTAGTCCTCTCCCCTTCCCTGGTCACCAGAATCACCATCTTTAAGGGTTACCTGCTGTGAGTCAATAAAAGCACTGAAGAATCCATTTTGGTGTTAACTAATGATACAATTAGCCAGACGAAAAGAATCAATATTTTTTATGTATATGTGTGTGTAGGTACTATAGCTTTTGTTATTGCGTTTGTCTTATATGTAGATTTCTGCTTTTTTCCATGTGCCAGAAAACGGCCTCTGCAGTTTAAAGATTTTCTAGAAGGTGATTGCCATGACTTGCTGAATTGTCACCAACGGCCCAAGCAGGGACACTGCAGATACTGGAGTAATCCATTGTTAAATGCACATGCACAGCAAATGGTGAACAACGGGTGAGTTTAGGCTGAGGGTTGAACTGATTTCAGAATGTGGGCCATGATGTCAAGACCAGAATGAAGCACTTAGCGTTGGGTCTCAGATGAGGTAAACTCTAAGACAGCCTGAGAGAATGACTCAGAGATTTCCTCTGAACCACAGAAAGCTATTTTACGAGGGTGAATGTTTGTCACATAGCCACACAATCACAAAACACCCCCCCAGGCACGTTCCCAGATCTTGTGAGAACCCAGCCAGTCGGGAATAGAGGTGCTAGCTCTCCGGCTAAGTTTCCACAAGGCTGGGCCAAGCCACAATCCAAGACTACACGGCATCACACTCAGACTGCTTCTTCATAACCTACCACAGTGTGATTTCTACGCTACAACTGCATGGTGACCTACGAATGCCTACATTTACCTCTGGTCCCCACCAGCATGTCGGAGTTGCTATCAACCTGGCGTACAGGGAAAACAGCAACATTCAGCCATTTGTTAGTGCAAACAAACACCACATAGAAAGGAGTCCAGACAAAAGAAGAGATACCCAGAAAGGTCGACAGCCTTAATTCCTCTGCTTTCATATCATGGGTTTGAATAAGCAACAAATTCTTCAACAAGTCTCATGCCTTCCAGGAGCCACTAATAACAGGAATTTCCTTTTTTGTTTGTTATATTGTCCTCTTCTCCAGGGCAAGGAAATGTGGAAGCTTTGTTTTACTAAAGAACCCTGTTCTGGAGCAAGGACTAGAATTTCATTCATCAGCCGTCCTTTTTCTTTACTAATATTCGCAATGGTATCCAAGGAAAAAGGTTTATTTTCCGAAGTCCTTAATAAAAATATGAAAAACACTAATCTGAAGCAGCAAGCATTCGGTCTCTGTCTTCTGTTTCATTCACCTTTCCAAGCATATAATTTCCATGCGATGAAAAGTCAAAATGCTGTTTTTTTTTTCTTCTTTCGTTTTGAGCAGGAGATTGTTGCACGTACATCGACTGCTTCTGATAGCTACATAGTTTATTTATAAAACCCAGTCACCTTTTGTGCGGTCCTTGGAAAGTTCAGTGTCCCGTGTTTGGGAGAATGAGACGGGTTTTAGAGGGAGCTTATGAGCGGGGGGGGGGGGGGGGGGGAGTGGGGGTCCAGCCATCCATTTGGTCCTATATAACATTCTCAAAGAGCTGCATTGAGCTCATGATGTTCTCATCCTAAACACAAATACAGAAGGAGGGTGAGAAATTCACGGTCAATAAATGTATACAGTCATCAGAACAATAAATACACATCAATCTATTCACAATCTTTCACAATCGTTAGGCCATTTACACAGTAAGGGCAAAATAAAATGACCGGTTCACCTGGCTCTAATCTTAAGCAAAAAAGTACTTGATAATCCCAGGGAGAACCTTTTGTCCCTGTACACAGGGAGCAGGGGTCAAACCCCCACAAATGTGAATCAGTTGTGTCTCTCATTGGCAGAGTAAATAAGACATGAATCTGTTTGCCACGTATCAAAGCATTCCTCCCTGCTCTGATGAAAAGTACAACCCAGCTGGGGTGAGAAAAGTGGGGTGTATTAAGCAACGCATTACATAATGCTAAGCTAGCTATTTATCATTGCACTGCTATGTAACTGCACCAGTACCACTGTACCATATATTTCTCAGGGAGATATTCCTTCATATTAGAAAGATGTACCTTCTGACAAGTTTCAATGAACTCATCGATGGTCACCACTCCGTCCCGGTTACGGTCCATTTTCTGAAGACAAAGCGTAAGGAGAAACGTAAATGGCTGGTAAATCCACCACTTCCTTTTCTCTAGAAAAACTTGGGTTTGAGTTTGAAATCTAAACAATTGCTTCTGATGGGAATCACCGAAGGTAAAAAGGGCACTATACACCAGATACCAACCCATGTTTGGTCAACCAAATGGAGTGGAAAGCACACCTGGAAGAACTTCTCCACATGCTCAGAGGGGGCGTCATCCCGCACGGTGGGGTAGGTGTATCTGCCCATCATATCGTATATGGACTTCATGATGGCCAGCATCTCCTGTAGGCCAACATAGATGAAGAGGGTCTCCATTGAGACGACCACGAGAAGGGCAACCTCAGCGTCTCGCTGTGCATTACCTCTGCGCACAGTCATACTTAATCCCTGGTTACCTCTTTGGTGATGTAGCCGTCTTTGTTAATGTCATACAGGTTAAAGGCCCAGTTTAGCTTCTCCGTCACGGACCCCCTCAAAAGCACCGACAGCCCAATCACAAAATCCTGTGAAAAGAACCCAAATCCCCATAACAATATGACATCAACATTGCTCTGTACCCCTGTAATTTCAGGGTAGAGCTGAGCTATTATGACAACCTACTTGGCAAGATTACAGGCTGAGCATGACGTTTGTTTAACCAGGATGAGTCAATGCTTAGTCCAGACAGGCAGTATCCTAAGTCTTCCATAACCTGTTCTACATAGAGAGCGAGAGACTCACCTCAAAGCGAATGGACCCATTTCTGTCAACGTCAAACGCATTAAACAGGAAGTGGGCATAAGTGGTGGCATCTGGAGAGAAAGAGCAACTGTGTGTGATCTCTGTATAAAGATAAGATTTCATGCACATCACAACAAAAATAGACAATACATGATATTATAAAGGACAATAATATTTACTTCTTATCCTGGTCAGTATTGCAGATGCCTGGAGGCTATCCCAGGATGCAAGTAACACAAGGCACTGAGCGGATGTACAGGGTGACAGTCCTCTCAGAGTTAGAAATCTATGTCCATGTTTGGATATTTGTTAGGATGTGAAAGTAGGTCAATTGAAGTCCAGGGAAGAGTGTAAAAAACGGCAATGAGTATGTTGAATCAGCTGGGAGTCTAGAGAGTTGCAGAAATCCTGTATTGTTCCATGTCTACATTCTGTTTTGTCCAGATCGTGTGTGGGAGGTGATACGTGACAGGGAAATAAGGATCAAACCACAAACTCTGAGCTGAGACAGCAGCAGACAGGAGATGCAGCTTCTTGTCTGATTTGAACACCTACACCAGGCCCAAAAGAAACCAGCAAACTGCAGAGAAAGGGCTGACAAAAATGATGTTCCCTACAGCTATGGTCTTGTGAGCTGCTCTCCATCCACGCAAGCATGAGCACTCTGAGTGACTTACAGAGGTCCACAAAGTTCTCTACATAACCACTACCCACTTATTCATTCCTGGGGGGCCAGGAAGGCGTGCGCCCTGTATGGGCTGTCAATTGATTGTAGGATACATCCTATAGGCAATTTATGGGCGCCAATCCCTTTGAACTGTAGGAGTAAACCAGAGTTCCCAGAGGAAACCATGCAACAAGGACTGAATACACATATTCAACTGAAACAATTGGCCACACAAATGTTTTTTTTTTTAAAGAGCTTATGAAAGAAGTGTAACTGGCATTAAGTCACAATGGATCTACAAAACTGTGCAAAAGTCTTAGGCAATCCAGTCCTTCTATGACTTTATGGCTGTCAAAGTGTGTCAGCTTTCACAACCATTTCAAAACCTCTCCTAAAGTCACCCCTTAACCCCTAGCACATCCCGTAGGGCAAATCAATACCATCATCACCGAGTTATTTAACTGATTAAATAAATTAATTAATTAACTGAGCTGGTGGTGAAATTTAATAAACACATGGAATGGCTGAGGTGCCCCTGAGGAGAGGTTTGGAAGCTGAAGCCGTGTTCATCTAGCCGTCCAACTAGATATCAGTAACTTTTTGGAGAACAGAAGAAATTCTTTTTAGTTTATATTGTGTGATTCTTAATTTACACGTTCTAATATTAAACTGTGCTTTTTTCCCTGAGCAAATATACACTTACTACACAGATAACTAGCTTTAAAAGAGTTCTTTGAGTGCCTAATAATAGTAGCTAAAATTGTTGGGCAACAGGCTTCTACATAAAGTGTGAAAAGTTAGCCAGCTGGACTATATACACCGAGCTTCACAGCCCTTTTCAGCAGCCTGGTCATTAGCTGTAAGTCACAGGGGCTTCCACACCTCACTAGCTTTTAGTTTAAAATGGTTATATCACTACTTACGTCTGTTGGGATATACTAATCTATATGGAGCTGTTTATGAAAAAATAAAGATTGATTCTACTAAAAAGAACTACAGAACAAACATAGAAAGAAAATGACCCAGACACCTCGCACAGCGGTAAATCTCAGGCAAGTGGTCATGACGTCATTGACAAAAGGATCAGTGTCAGGCATTTTGATAGGATCAAGGCCAAAATAATATGACTCAACCACGGTACACTGCATACTATTAACTCAATCCCAAGAATTAAGCTTTTGCTTTGCTTTCATAAGTAGAACAGTGTTTAAAGAGCCAGATCACACACATAATCACACCCTTCAAAGGCTACCAGACAAATTAAATCAAATCTTTGCATACTTTTATAGCTATTTTTTAGCAAGCTGTCAGGCTCATTTTGATCTGAGTAGCGTTTAGCAGTATAACACAATCAAGGCTAAACCTTATGAAAGTTCTACCTGCTCTTTGGAGATTTTTAATATTAAATGTTGTGATAAAAAAGTACAATCAGAGGGCAACAATGTAAAAGTTTTTATTAAACTGACAGATAAAGGGCCAAGAGTGACATTGCTAATGCCATTAATATTTATGCCAAGTGTAATGCCTTCTGGTATTAAAATGCTATTTCATGAATCCTTCTGAACTGTAAAAACACAACTACTTAATGACCAACCCTAACACCTCTCACTGCCTGGTTTTAAAAGACGCCTTGTCACACCACAACTGAGATGTTCTTTTTTGCTGGTGCCCCCAGATGCCCTGTAAGTCCGCATGACCCCTCCACTCATCAGCCAGTTTCCTTAAGCAGCAAAAACCCCACCAGTTTACAGCCCCGGAAAACTGCATCTGCGGCTTGACAGGCATTAAACCCCATCTCAGTATTTACACGAACTTTTAAAAGCTCTCATAAGCACCGATAATGGTGGCATGAGGTAAGGCATCTTCATTAACAGTCTTCTGGTCATCAGTCTTTATAACAATGGGGGAGAGAATAATGGATTCCACCATAATAAAGATTATAGTATATATCTTTACAGCACCCATCTTTTATCACTTACACTTGCATTATTTATCCTGGCAGCCCATCCTACAGAATGATCTGGCTTTTGTCTTGTTCTGCACTGTCCAGCTAAGGCCTTTAATCCCATCTTGACCATTCAGCAAGTCTTTCCCTTTGAACTTTGCGTTACCGACTTGAACGGGACTAAAAAAGAACAATGTGATATTTTAGAAGATTAGCCCACCTCCTTGGGGAAAGAACTGAGAATAGATGGTCTTGAATGTCTCCTCATCCACCAGGCCACTGGGACATTCCTGGGAGGGGGAGGGGGGGGGAGCAGCTTTTGTGCCAGTAGTACCACTCTCCAAATTATCAATAACACATGAACCCGCATCTCCCCTTCAAACTCCTGGCCACATGCCCCAGTCCCCCAGCCTCAATGCCGACTAAAGTCAGCCTCTGGGTCCATTCTCACGTTCTTGAAGCCCCTGTAGAGGGACTGCAGCTCCTTCTTGGTGAACTTGGTCTGGGCCTGCAGCTGCTCCAGCCCTTCCGGCTGGTGGCGCACCGTGGAGAGCTCCAGGTCGCTGTCACTGCTGTCTGTGTGTGAGGGAGAAAGAGATGGGGGGCAGGATACAGGATGGGGGGAGGAAGGGGGAAGGGGCGGGTGAGCAGGAGTGAGTACAGGAGACAGCAGGAAGGGCAAAATAAAAGAGAGTTACAAAGGAAGACTGGATAGAGCGCGGACAAGAACGAGAGGAAGAGAGATTAGAGAAATAAAAGGGGAATTCCACGCTAAAGTGATCCACCTTGTTTAACCACTTCCCCAGTGCAGGGTGACAGCCAGCCTGGAGCCACAGAGCCAGGAATCAAGCCCATAGCCCAGGAGGTGTGAGGTTATCCTGCTAAGCACTGATCCACCGCACCACCCACTCAGGATAAGTGATACCCTGGGAGCACGTTTCCCAAAAGCGCAGTCGCTAACAACATTAGCAACTTCCATATAAGTGAATGGATCCAACTATGTAAGTTGCTAAGGGCTGCTTTTGGCCATGCTCGATCTGGGCACCCTCACACAAGGTCCTCCATAAACCAAATATTTACTATAAAAATCTCTAACATGACAAATACATGTCTTAAGTCCAAATTATAGTGTGAATCTATGGGGAAAATTGTATTTTGTGCAAATTACACAAACCAATATCACCTCCGCATATATTCTTATATATTATCAGTCCAATGATTTGTTCAGCCTTTCTATAAATTATTCACAAATCACGTAATTCATTGTAAAGACAGGCCTCCCTAGATTATAACCCTCAGCTTCCCACTAATCCCTGATGCACAGAAAATGTAAACAACAGTCTGTCAGAGCAGAAAATGCACCTGGGAACCATGTGAGATGGTCAGAATATGAGAATAATCGATTTGTTTCTTATTAAAATAAAATAAGATTGGATTTAATATAGATTATTGATAGAAGAAAAAATATATTATTGACTTTAGGTGGAATTTCCCTTTCAAGCAGGAAGAAGAACTTAAAAAAAAAAATCAAGAAAAGGAAAAACCAAGAGACAGATGCACAGACGTACTCAGAGCCAAGCGAGGGAACTAGAGTTCAGGAGGAGAGGATTAGAGGGACTCGTGGTAAGTTGGGTTTCACCCCGTGCACATACTCACCATCTGGTGGACATACACAGACACGGAGACAGGGAGGGACAGTAACAGGAGGAGAGAGAAGACAGAAAGAGCGAGAGGAAAAAAGGAAAAAGAACGAGTTAAACAGAACAGCACACCTCCTGAAACCTGTCACAGGACTACAGATACAAAAAGAGGAAGAGGAACGAGAGAAGATGATGCAACGATGCGACGGACAAAGCCGGTGGCTATACGGTCTACTCCGGCATGCGGGGATACGGTCACCCATCAGTAACATCAACGACAACAGCAAGAAGGGCTTGTGTTACGGAGTCACAGTAATCACACATTCAGAATTGCTATGCATCTCCTAACCTGGATGAATGGACTGTGGACAAAGTGAACATCAGTTCCTCAAGAACTTAAGATATTTGATGTGATCCACCTCACCGCTGATGACAGACCTAGCTAATGCGTTACAGATTTACAGATATGCCACTTTCATAGGGCACTGCTGCCCTCAGGGCAGCCTCTCTGCTGCGCCCTCTTCCCTCACCTGTCTCTGTGATGTCGATGAGCCCCAGCAGGTGCATCAGTTTGAGGAACATGAAGACCAGGCAGACAATTCCCACCGTCTGCAAGCCCTCAGTTTCCCACCTGACGCTCATCCTTCTGGTTTCGTGGTCTTTCCCTGTCTCTCTTTCAAAGACACTCTTCCCTGTCCCTGTTCAGTTGCTCAGTACATCGGTTGCTAAAACCTTGGCTCGTCTTCAGCGGCTACCTCTCCTTCTGCAGTCTTCCTCACGCTTGCAAACCTCCTTCCTCACCTGTGAAGACTGCTGTGCGTCAGTCTATCTGCCTGTGGAGGAGAGCTCAACTACTCATGAAATCACCTTGATGCTAAAGTTCAAACGTCGATAACAACAAGCAATGAGCATACATCAACATTTAACTTGCTATGGTGAGTGGAACATACTCACAATTGATGATCTTCAAAATTAAATAAAAGATGCTCTATAAACTGAACAGATGGAATTATTAGAAAAATATATGTTTATTCCACTTAAAAGTTATCCCTATTAAAAGACACAGGAAATCTTCAAGAAAAAAATTTAGCCAAGTAAAAGCTTAGAGGGAGAACCATCCAGAATTCTACTAGTCCTCCACACATGTTCCTCGTCTTCCTTGGCTCGGTCCACTCTTCCTTCAAATCTGAATAAAACAGCCTCACTCCCTGAAAAAATCCCTCCTACTTTGATGATGATTAAAATACAGAAGAAATGTTAATTATAATGTCCTAAAATATTACAGTCCCCTGTGACAGCAAATGACACTTCCTTGTCCCAGGATCTTCCCTTTGCTTCTCTCAATCCCCCTATTCTAAACTTTCACTCTCCACCTCTCCATTGGTGAAGGGAATCCAGCCCCCCCCCCCCCCATAAAAAAGACACCTAGACACGTCCTAATAACCCAACCCACCTGCGGCAGCGACCAGCTGGCCGTGAAAACTGCCCCCCCCCCCCCCATTTATATGCCCTTCAGAATAAAATATAAGAATTCATTGTCCATACACTTTTGTACCTAATTGGTCTTATTCTTGGTATTGATGAACACACACATCCCTCCCTAGATACTGTCCACTCTTTCCGGGAGTTCTTGAAGCAGACAGTAGGAATCACCTTTTGCTTGACGCACAGAAGGCACCAAAACACTGATGAGGATATATAAAACCATTTTAAAAACACACAACCTGTAAAAATGATCTAGTCTGTGGCCTCATTCCCATCTCCCCAGCCTTCTGAACCAGTTTCCTCTTAATTGTTCTCACCATACTCTTGGGTTCATTAACGTAAGAGGTTTCAGACGTTGCATCACCGGTGAGTTTCTGTCTGGGGAACTGTCACACTTGCCAAAATTGTTGTACACTTAAATTAACTGTCCTTGTCTCTTTCTCCCCCTCTGTCAATAGCCATTGTGTTGAATAACAGTAGTCATAATAAGCCCTACAATCCACAGAACAGCAAAGGAAAAAATATTCCTTCAGCAATGAGGACAATTAGGATTAAATGAATAACAAGATTCAGAAGGGCTATGATTAAGTTTCGAATGGCAGTAAATTAAGTGTATTCGGTTAACTCCCATTTTGATTGAGGGATATTACCTTTCAACACTCCACTGTTATGGTAGTGAGACAAGCCACCAGCAACTTGATTTCATATCGTCCAGTTAGAAAGGGCCCTGTTGCCAGTGGTTAGTGTTGACTGCTAACAGAAAAATCCATGGCAGGATTGCATCAGGCAAGAATAGTAATAATAGAGTAAAAAAGACTATAGACAGGGTATAATAGTGGAACAGTGAATAAACTGTGAATGAACAAAGCATGGAGTAAGAATTTCCCCTCCATCATTACCTGCTATTATTTTCGAAGTTGCCTTTTGAAAGCCTTAATGAGTATGTATAATCCCACGAATAAAAAGACTGATGAATCAAACCACAGAACTACCACAGAGCATTTAAAATAAACTGACACGCTATCGCCACACTGTGGCACACTTGAGCATTGCTGCTCTATCCCCACTGTCGCACACATTTTGTCTGATCAGCTAAACAAACCAGGGCATACATCAGGCCTGGTGAACAGAGCTCCATAGAACAGGATTTCAGCATAAATAAAAGCCTCATTATCTGCCCTGGCAGACAGAGGTCAACAGAATAGAATTTATGTATTAATTTTAGGCAGTGAACTGAATACTAGTAGGAATGTGAACATTTCAAGCATGCAGAACACGGGGTTACTCGGGTACGAATTCCAACTGCTCTGCGGGTGGGTCCACTTCCATAAATTTCATTGACGGGGGCGTGCCTGGGGCGGGGGGCTCACACAAATGTGGCCTGGAGTCCGCCATTGAAGTACCCCTAATATAGAGGATATATTGGTAACACCAACATAGTTGGCATGGCACAGATACTTAGTAAAAACTTCATTACTACTGAAGTACAAATCATGAACAATTCATGAACATAGTTGCTACTTGAGATATATATGTTACTCATGATGTGTTCCTTCAGGAGTTCCTTAGTAGTTCTGTCAGTAGATCACAAAGGTTTACAGAATCAACCTATATGGTGAGGAACTGCTTGGGATGAAAAATGCATCATGATTCATAAATGAAGAACAAACATGAGATGAGTATTTCACTTGTGTTATTCATTACTTGTTTCTTCAGTAGTTTACAAAGGTTTGCAGAATTAACAGATATAGTAACAAATATAGTAACTGTTTGAGATAACATGCTTGATAAAACAATTCATTAATGGTGAATGAATGCTGAGATCAGTATGCAACAAAGACTTAGTTTATGGTTAATTAATACATAAGTAATAGCATAACACTATATTACTTGTGCCCCGTCGAGTAAAGTGTTACTGTTGTATTTGAAGACAAGGTCACTAGATGATATAGTGAAGTGGTTTATTACTTTAGGCTTTTTAATAGCGCAATTACAGGTTTATGTCTATTTCCTTTTAGCTGAAAAAGGAAGCTGGTTTAGTTGAATTGGCAACCGGAATCAGACTTAGAATTAGAAGTCCTCAAAAACTTAATTTCTTCAAAAATCATCAGGAAGGCATGTCATATATATCAGGCATTTGACATATAAGATGGTAATAAATGTATAAAGTTACGCCTCTGCATTTTTAGCTACTTATTATTTACCTACTAACTATCTACATAACTGTGAGCTGTTGAAAAAAATATTATCTACAGGATAAAAACCAAGGCATGCTTTTCTTTAAATAAACGTCACCTTAATCAAACTTAAGTGACCAGACGTGTGTGGAATAAGAGTCACAGGCACGCTCTGTCTAACGCACACAGACCGCTGCAAGCTGAGCTGATATTGACGCATAAACGTGTAGGATCTCATCTGTGACGTAAGAACATGTTTGCATCTGTAAACTGAAATCTTAGAGCTGCCCAGAAACAATGGCCATGACTGCAAGGGAATTCTCTCAAACTACAATGCAAAATGCAAAAGCTACCATTTCCTTTCATGCAAGTTTTACAATAACGTGACATAAAATTAGTTTTTATTAGATAACTGAAATAAGTCATTATCAGAACATATTTCTGGACGTTAATGCCTCAGACTAATCCCTAATCTTACCCACAATCCTGCAAGTAAAGGATTACAGGAGCCTTCCGTCTGCTTGTGAATAGGAAAAACACAATACAAATATATCGTTCACTTTAAAATGAATACATTTTTAATTGTATATTGAACTAGTCATTTTTAGTAGATATTATGTGGACAGTGCATGCCACAGTTTCCATCCTGTTTATTTTTCTGAGAAGCAGGTTCTTGCTGATGACCCAGAAGGCAACAGGAAGACAAAGACCAGCAGCGGTTTCCATAAACACAAAGTCTTCGTTAGGAAAAAGACCTACAGTGGCATGCAAAAGTTTGGGCACCTGACATGGTCAATACTTAAGACCTCCCTTGGCAGGGTTCCCCAGTTCTGGTCCTCGAGGTCTAGTCTGCAACATACTTTGCAGATTTGCCTGCTCAAACACACCTACTACACCTGGAAATTGGCTGGTGAACCGAATAAGGTGAAATTGGCTGGTGAATCTATACTTATCGGTATATAATGGGTGCTTTAGGTCTCTTCATATACAGCAGTTTCAAATGAGAAATAAAATCTCAAATACTAAAATAATGACAGAAACACAGACCTCATGAGCACAGAGTTTTCCACAAAACCATAAGCATCCCCAGTCTGGGGTAACATGCCAAGCTACGCCCAGTGATCCCAGCAAGGAAATGATGCTCGACAGGACCAATCGCAGCATTTGTCGACACATAAGCTGACAATCGAGGGCCACAACAATGAGAAAATGACCAAAATCCAGCCTTCGCTCTCCCTCCTGTCAGCAGATACCAGCTTTGGTCACACTGGTCACACTGGAAACCGCATGCTGTCTGTTTGTATTTTTGGTAAACTGATCAGTATGTCTCTGTCTAGGTGTCGTTTGGCTGGTATTTTACCAGAAAATTTACTTGACTTTATTCGCTCTAGGATGGTATATAATATAACAAATATAGTGACTGAATTGAGCGGAAACTAAGTGGTGTTGCCAGTGTGAACATACAACAAACTGCAAATGCCACCATCAAGGCTTTGGCAAGCTGCATCTGTCTGGGGTCTTTAAAGGGTCCTGCATTATGGTCTCTAGTGTTTTTTGTTTAGATTGCAGCATTAATGATTTGGCAGTAACAGCCAGCTTGGTCTGCTTGGCGCGTAATATAAAGAGGAAGCCCAGGTCACATGATCTCCACATGATGTCACATTAAGAGGAGATGTAACTGGGGTAAACGGACATGTGGATAGCGGAGATTTCTCCTGAGTGTCTTATCTAAAGATCTCATGCCGTACTCATCATGGTCTGCATGCTCCATTTAGAGCGCAACAGGGCAGAAACTAAGCCAGAATCGCTTGACAAACGTGAGAACTGGTTGGAGCGCTAGCTTGCAGCCATGTGATGCTAGTTGGGTTGAGAAGCAAGAGACATACTCAAAGACTGAGTGTAAAAGATGGAATTAAGGAAAATCTAAGGGAAGGGGATTAGCCACGTCAGAGGTTTCAGGCCACGGATTTAAGGGACGGAGGTGAGAAAGGGATGCAGCTGTGGGTACAAACAAACCAGCAGGAGGACGACAGTATTATCGCTTGGGGGCCAGGGATAGCCAGTGTCCTTCAGGGCTCCTTACAAAACGGCTGCAGGTTCCATATTTAGCCGGCAGTAAAGAAAGCAAGCTCAATACTGCATTTATAATTAATGGCAAGTAATGCTAGACAGAGGGTGGGGGCACTGGCTCTGTGGGTGGGAGAAAGGCAGGGAGACAGATAAATAAGGAGAGACGGGGAGCGAGGGAGCGAGGGAGGCCAGGGGAAAGGGGCGAGAATAGCAAATATCCTGCAGAAATGGAGGGATTTCTTGATGGCAGAGGAGGAAGTCATGAGTGTGGCAAGAAGGGCAAACCAAACTGAAGCCATGTTGGTTGGGGCAAATGTTCAGAAGTACCGGGGCTGAGGTAGTATGCTGGCTGTTTGGGAATCTACAGTATCAGCATTACTGATTCATTATTGGACATGAATTATTTGATCATCTGGAGCTTGATGCCATTAGCAGACTGCCCACTGTGCTGGCCGGCAGTGGGTCCCAGCTTATGAGCTGCAGCAGGGCAAGGCCACTCTGGGTAACATATCGGCTAATGCAGTGTTTCCCAATGCGGTCTTCTGGGACCCACGGATAGTCCATGTTTTTGCTCCCTCCCAGGTTCCAGTAAGGAGCAAAAATGTGGACTGTCTGGCAGGGAGAACAGAGGGAGTAAAAACGTGGACCGACTCTGGGTGCCCAAGGACCAGATTAGGACACACTGAACTAATGCATCGCTCAGGAGTGACAGGAATGAATACACTAAAAAAACCAAGAAAAAAGGCAAATAAAGAGGGTATAAAGGGATGTTAGGATGAGTAAGATAGCTCAGGAAGATAACTGCCATTTATTACCATTTTAACTTCAACACTGAACTAGCCAGCAAGTAATCTTGAATTCAGTTTTCCAGTTCAACTAAACCAGCTTCCTTTTTTAGCTAAAAGGAAATAGATATGAACCTGTAATTGTGCTATTAAAAGTCTAAAGTAATAAACCACTTCACTATATCATCTAGTGACCTTGTTAAAATATGAAGCATGTGCTCCCTGAAGCTACCTAACAGCCGAACAGTAGATGTGACAGGCATGTGGCTATAGATCATCCATACAGATCAATAAAATAAAGTCAGATATTTGTCAAACAACATCGCAAGCCACAAACAACAGTTAATTTGTCAGCAATGGCAAAACCGTGCGAGTCGATTAGCAAGTTAGCAAACCAACCGGTTTCACACTAAATGGATGAGAGAGCTCCATATAACAATGGGAAAATATGAAAAACATTTCTGCATTTTTTAACCGCAAAAAAACCCCTTTTTGGATTCTTAAAATATTTACATTTGGAGTGAATGACAGTTTAAAGGCCGCAATTATTAAAATATGTCATCTCATAAAGTCAATTCCCTGAAAACTCGAAGGCAGAGAGTAGTGTTGTCACTAAGGAATATGTGGTAACCCACAATACATATTACATCATTATGTCTCCGAAAAATCTGTTCATGACTTAATACTGCAGAAAAAACACATTATGTTTCATGTGCCACACTGCAAAGCAGCAGATTCACAAAGGAGGGCGATTCATGCCTGTGACACCAGAATGATTTTAACCTTCTCAGTTTTGCTCTGATCATTTTGATAGTGTAGCCCCTTGCCCTGTAGTCAGTTATCACTCATCCCAGAGATACAGAGACGACCAGAGCACAGTCACTGCTGCAGAGATATTACCCTATCACTTTCTCTCATCTGATGCACTGACGCAATAATTGTTAGCCAAGTATGAAGGCAGCATCTGATAAATTGTGACCCATGACCACTGGAAAATGCACTAAGGTTTATTTAGCTCTTAATTTTATTTTGCTAACATCAACACATGGGACTCCCTGGATTTCTGCAGACTAACAGGATCTTCCTGGCTTCACTTCAACTGAAAGCTGAAACTGCTAATTTGATTCTGAAAATGTTATAATAAACGACTATGTTGTGGCTGGCTAAGGAAATTATTGATGTCGATGTTTCAGAAAGAAAGGGATGAACAGAATGAATGTAATTTATTTTAAAATTCCCTGAAAAGGTTTTTAAAAATGTCATATTTCAGATATGTCAGTTAAGAAACATAACCCTTTCGAAACAGTGACAGCAGATCAGAGACTATATATGTTCAATACATGTCATTTTATCTTAGTATGATGACAGTTATTATTTGTAATAACAAATGTGTAAAATCTATAAGGCTATCACTTATTAATCATTTGGCTACAGTGCATGTGTATCTGTAAGCTGCATCATGAGGGAAAGTGCTTTTGCATTAATTCTTCAGGGTCTGTATTTAAGGACCAGGACACTTAATACTGCTGTCACTGCCAGTGATCTTTCTGCTGTTACTCTCAAGGCTGATCTGGCTGCGTGTCGATCAGTCTTACCTTCCATAGACATGGGCTCCAGGATGCCGAATTGCTTGAGCACGGCCACAAAAAGAATGACGACCACGCCGATGGCAAACAGCTCCATGCCCTGGATTCCCATGGCAGGGCAGGCCGGGGGGACAGTGGGCCAGGAGAGTGGCCAAGGGGGATCCGGGGTGGCCCACGGAAAGGGCTAGAACAGACTAGCGGAGCTGGTCAGAGTCAGGTAGCCACCAGAAACATTCTGATCTGAGACCCGTGTGAAGCGGTTGGGGAATGTTCTATGCAGATTCTGCGGGACAGTCAGACTCGAACCTGAGGCAATGCTAATTCCCAAGCCCATCCTACTCGGACCTCCTAGGAGACAAAGTCAGAGAGAGGAGTTGAGCAGCTGTTGCGATGCACATATCACTGTGATTTCTCCCAAAATCACAACGCCTCACGAGAAAAAGTGTGCGTACTTGGCTTTGGCTTTGGAGTTAGCCATGGAGAGCCACAAGGGACAGCTAAACATCGCCGGACAAGACACAAAGAGCGATCCTCATGGTTCATAATGAATATAGATAGTCATGTTATTTTCGTATGTTTTCATATATATATTCCCTTGGTGCCTATTAGGCTGTAGAACGTGGTTTGCAGAAAACACAACACGCTAGCCAAATGGCGGCACTATTAACGAACATACAAGTGCAGTAGGACTGTAAAATACAAAAACGAGCCCCATGCTAGACACTATCCAGGTCAAAAATACTGGATGCAAATCCAGTCACTATCAGTTACACCCAGTTTATGAACTAATTCAGTCATTTAAGAACTGAAACATTCTAATTTACTTAAAAAGTCACAGCCCCAAGCATATATGCCTGACATGTCTGAGCGTATTCCACACCAGCAACATCTCAAAAGAGACACAACGTGGATGCATCTCCTGCCGTCCAGTTCCGCTGCTCACCGCCTGACGTTCAGTGCCTCCGCGTGTCCTTTACAGAATCCACCAGAAACTCGGTCCATTTGCTGTCATTTCCTAGCAGGTGTCTCCTGCATCACCCATGCCTGCCCATGGTGCTCCAGCCGCCAACGGGACAGCAGGGAGGTTCCCACGGTCACGCCGCGGCCCCGCAGCATCAAACCGCCGTATTCTGTCAACGTTGGCGTCCCGCGTCCCTGGCACATTCACTCCTCTGGTGTCCGTGTCAAAGGGCTGCTCCCTCACTCTCCTCTTTCACTTTGCTCTCTCTGTCCTGACTCCCTCCCTCTTCTCACCCCCCACCCTTCACTGTCCAGTCAGACACTTTAGTTCTCCATCCGTCCAGCACTCCTCTCTCACTCACTCTGTCCATCTCAGCCCTGAGTCTCTCTCTCTTCCTCCACTTTCACCAGCCGCTTTCATCCCCGCATTTCACCCTGCCTGAAGTTCTACGTCCCTCTCATCCCTCCCTTTTTCCTGATCCCTATTCCTGTCGGCTTCATTCCTTGGATGGGCATCTGCCTGGATGTCAGGGGGAAAGTCTTTTTTTCCTAAACTCCAGGATGGAGTGAGAGAGCAAGAGAGAGAGAGAGAGAGAGAGATGAAGGATCAGGTTCCAGGGACACCCCCCAAGCCTCTACCTTCCCCTCTGCTCTCCCTCTGCTCCTCAGATGTCAGCCTTAAAAAGCACGGTAGGAAAACAGAGAGGTGATTCCTCAAAGCCCAGAAGAGCAGGGGTTTCATGACTGTAGTGCTCAGATCATATTTAAAAAAAAAAAAAAAACAAGGAGCTGGAGTCTGGCCCCGGCTGTTTCTCCAGTTATCCTGGCGCTCCTCTGAGCTCCTTCAGTCCAAAGACATGAAGTTTCAGTAAATGAGTAATTCTGGAAACAGACCTTGGAATACACATGTGAGTGGCCCACAATGCACTGTTACATATTTAAAAGAAGTGTTCCCCGCCAAAATCACTAGAGTCCCGACTGGACAATTGAACATAGTGGATGATTGAAGATGCATCGTTTGTAGAAAGTCCCCGACATCCACAGGAGTTGGTACCCAGTACTCTAATAGTCAAGTAAAGTGAGGGCAGCCTGTATTGAAGGAAGCTGTCATTCCCAATGAAATGAAAGGCAACAGGATGCTTGTGGGCTGGGAGACACATTTTGACCAAATTCTATATTTATCTATTCAATGTCTAACTACATATCCAGTACAAGATCTCGGGACAAAACACTTCATCTGTTCATGACAATATGACAAAGGAGATAGTTAAATCTATGGCATTTTTGGTTCATTTTCTACCAGCAGTTTGATTCTCAGTAATGTATGTGTGTCCTGAAGGAAAAAAGAAATATCTCTTTACCAGATGTTGAGATTTCAGGTCCAGAAGGTAAAAATACAGACCAAGATTTTGTTTCAACCATCCAGTTGACTGAAAAAGTCACAATCACAGAACTCAACTGGCTGGGTAAAACAAAACCTTGGTCTGGATTTTTACCTTCTGGTCCTGAAATGTCCACCTCTGCTCACTACTGAGATGATTTGGCATGATTTTCATTGAGGAGCTAAACCCAGCTGTTCTGAAAAGGCCATAGAGGGGACATTTCCTTCAGCAGAAAGTGGTCAATAGCGGAAGCTTCTGAGACCTCAGATTCAGACCTCAGCAGTGGCTGTTTGCGGAGGAACATGTCGGGGGGGGGGGGCTAAATTACTGTGCGTTGCTCCAATATCATACATCAGCGTCATCAAAGAGAGGTGCCATGTCGAGACCCGTGGTGACACCCGGGAGCCACTCAGGCTGCTTGTCAGTAGATCACAGCGTCACTCAGTGTGTAACTTTCTGCTAGGGAACAGAGGCAAAGGGCAGAGTTAATGGCTGATGAGTTTGCACTTACTAATGCACTGAGTTTGTAATGATGGGAGATGGGGAAGCCGGGGCGGTGGGTGGTGGTGGGGGCCAGAGAATCGATCAATGTCTTTTTCTCACTCACTCTCCCTCCCTCTGTCTGTCTCTCTCAGATAACAGTAAAGACGAGGCTGGGATCGCGCCAGACAGACAATTTGCCGGGCAGCGGATGGAGGTTAGGGAGAGATAAAAAACCGAGTTGGGAGGAGACGTGTGGAGGATGGAGAAAGACAAAGCAGAGGTGGAGAATGATCTAGTTTCTGACTATGAACTCAAAAGCCCTACAAGATGATCAAAGCACTGATAGTCTGAGCTGTTTCTAAGCACCTTAAAACCATACAGGTTCCTCAGATCCTTCCTCCAGGACTCTTGAGGACTCAAAAATTGGTTCCCAGAATGTTCCCCGTAAATTTGTGGATCGATAAATTTGCAAAAGGTATTAGTAGGCCGCTTAGCAACAATTTTTTAATGGAGCTGTAAATGTTGGATGAAAACTGGCAACACAAACATGTATTTCTTCACTGAACTCAGACACCTGTCGCCAGTCTTTTTGTAGACTAAATATCTGTAAAGATACGTCTCAGGAGGCTCACAGGAGAACCGGAATGCCAACCAACATTTCGAGAACATAGTTTCTGCCAAGTGACCTTTTAAACAACCTGAAGAGTGACGTCGGTATGAAATATATGTTCCTCTGGTAGGAATACATCACTCTACCTGAAGACTAAGCTTAAATGTGGGCTTCTCAAACGCTCAGGAAACAGGAAGCAGAGCTGGGCTTTTAGTCCGGTAGAATGCAACTGTTTGATCCCATCGCAAAAAGCCATTAAACCACTAACTCATCTTTTAAAATATAGTCCTTCTGCTGACACAACATCCCGCTCTAGAGCTGGGATCAGCTCCACTGTGGGAAAAAAAATGAAAGAGATGGAAACTTGCCACACACAGGCCGAAATTTGTCTTGTCTGTCCATGGAGCCTTTAATTATATGGGAACAAGCCAAGGTAGTGTGATGACCTCATGTCTCCAGGGCTGTGGGTACAGTTCCCACCACCCGTTCTGGGTGTGTGAGTTTGCATTTTATCTTTGAGTTTGTAGCACATTACTGCACAGGCTATAGCCTGGGGATCCGCCCCCACCTTGGGGAAACTGGAATGAATGTCCGTGTTAATGTCAGCCTGTGCACCTGCCCTGCGATCCGATAGCGCCCCCTCCCATCCAAGCTGTTGGCCTGCCTCACCGCCTTCATTTCGGGGACAGGCCCCGCGAGATACTACACTTCATGAGCAGTTAAGGAAGATCCAGTGAATGACAGAAAGCGACGGCACTGGAAGTCCCACTGTGGGCCGCTGTGGTCTGAAAGATTACCCACTGACAGGTGCATGGTCATCTTCCTGGAATCCATATGTACCCACCAGTGGGGAAAAAGCAGCATTATGGTATGCAGATGACCACTCAGGATGGTAAGGCATTGCGCAGCATTGACATTATGCCTTTTAATGCAGTGAGTGGACACAGTCCACACCAGCAGACAGTGCACCAGGCTGCTGTGTAGTATTATCCCCACTGTGAGCATTTATTTTAGCATACAGTTCTGGAAAAAATGAAGAGACCACCCTATATTTTTTTAAATCTGCATTTTTGAATCCTGGTTTAATCCTGGTTCTGCTGGCAGAGGCTACACTGCATGACAGGCTGCTTCCAGGCTCAGAGCTTCTAAGACAGCAGTACATGAGAACAAAGTGAAGCAGGAGACATTGGGAATGACCAAAAACCAGCCAGCTAGAGGGCAGAAGCAACTTTCTATGCAAGAGATGACCATCAACTTATCCGGCAGTGCCTCATAAATCAGAGGATGACCTCAATTGAATGGGAATGGGAAACATTAAGTGGTGTGAAGTGCACTGCTAGAACAGTTCATAACAGGCTCCTAGAAGCAGGACTGATGACCCATAAAGCAAGAAAGCAGCCCTTCATTAATGAGAAGCAGGGTAGAGCCAGGCTGGAGTTTGCAAAAAAAAAACACAGGCACACACCCATAAACTGGGAAATGAGTGAAACTGAAAATTTTCCTCCAGGATTTCCAGAGCTGCATACTAAGCAAATAATGATGCATGTGAGTGTTGCATGGGGTTCTGTATGCACTGGTGGTGTATTGAGTGGCATGCAGTGACTTTTCCAAGTGGGCAGCCTGGACAGGGTGCTACTGGATCGCAGGGCAGGTGCTCGCACTGACATCAGCACGGACATTCGGGTATTGCCATTGGCCAAAGGCGGAATGATTGAGTGTCCCCCTTTTCGATAACTGCCGATGACTGAGAGACAGAAAAATTTACCGAGGGGGATTCCCCCTGCTTAGCAAAATGTACACTCCGCCATGCCTCCCCGTTCCAGCACCTGCCCCTCGAAAAGTCACTGCATGCCACTGATTACACCCCCAGTGCATATGGAACACCTTGCATCCTTCACATGCAACATTATTTTTCAGTGCTCTGCATATGTCAGTAAAGTTATAATACATGTAAAATGTCAGTTTCAGTTGTTTCTCCTGTGCAGGGTTGCAAGTATGCGGCTGGAGTCTGTCTTAGGCAGCAGAGGGCAGGGGGCAGCCCGGGCGGGATGCCAGTCCAGTGCGGGGACTTTCTGACACTCAGTCAGGCGGTGAGGTGGGACTCTAACCCCCAACCCAGGAGCCGTGAGGCATCAGGGCTACACACTGGGCTTCCACAGACGATTACAGGGAGGCATCAGTGCTACACACTGGGCTTCCACAGACGATTACAGT